ATCTATCTATCTATCTATCTATCTATCTATCTATCTATCTATCTATCATCTATCTTATCTCCCTCCCTCCCTCCCTCCCTCTCTCTCTCTCTCCCAGCTGAAGGTTCCAGACACATTTTGCAATAGGCCTTACATAAAGGCATTGCAAAAGTGTAAATGGGAGAGTCCATTCTCTTTTGGATCAAGCTTTCGATCAGTCTAGTGGGATAGAAAAGAATTGCATGAGTTGCAAATGAAGAAATGTACATGCTCACAACATGACTCATAACATGCAACTCACAACAGTCCTGACTCACAACAGGACTAGATCTATATGCGTGAAGACCGGTTGGAAGTCACTTTTTTCAGTGCTCTTGTAACTTTGAATGGTTGCTAAACGAAAGTTTGTAAGCTGAGAAATACCTATAAGGAAATTGTGTAGAAACCAGATTCAGTGGGAAGCTGTTCTTCCCATTTTTTTTTTTTTTAAGGAAGCAAAATTTGACCTGATGTGCGAATTACTTGCAGAAAAGATATGGTCAATATAACCTTTTACATCAAGAAAGGTCAATGGTCTGATGACTTCAGGGTGACTCGTTTTTCCTTGGCAACAGGGATTTACTTTGCCTTTTTCTGAGCTGTTTTTTCCACTTCTCCGTTTTTTCAGGTTTCCTGGTGATCCATATCTAAATGCCAATCAGATCCAACTGGCTGAGCTTTTGAGTCTAGGGGAAAAAAAACCAGCTAGCATAATTAGTTGCTTAAACGGACAAGTACAATATAGCAGAAGTGAGTGTGAGGGTATCGTGAGGATGGAGTTTGCATTGGTTACAATCCTGATCCATTCCATCTGACTGATGGTGCCTCACCTGGGCTTAGTGGAGCAAATCGAATAGATCTGAAGAGAATATCTATAGAGGTAGTCCTTGACTTATGGACCGCAACAGAGCTCAACATTTCTGTGGCTAAGCAAGGCAGTTGTTAAGTGAGTCAGGTGGTCATTAAGCGAATCTGGCTTCCCCCATTGAATTGGTTGTCAGAAGCTCCCTAGGAAGGTTGCAAACGACAATCCCAGCATCCCAGAACCATTGCAACCATGGCAAAATACAGGCCAGTTGCCAAGCGCCCAAATTTTGATCACATGGCTATGGGGATGATGCAAGAGTTCTAAGTGTGAAAACTGGTCCGAAGTCACTTTTTTCAATGCCACTGTAACTTCAAACGGTCACTAAACAAATGATTGTAGGGCAAGGACTACCTGTATAGGAACACTAAAGGAAACTGCTTAGAACAGCGATGGCAAACCTTTTTGAGGTGGTGTGCTGAAAGCGTGTGCGTGCCGGCACCCACAATGCAATGTACCCTCCCCCCCGTGCATGTGCGTGCAACACTCCCACCCCACCTCCTTACCTGCAGGGCGGCTGCGCACACCTCTCAGCTGATTTTGGGCCCATTTGGGGCCGTTTTCACCCTCCCGGGGTCTCGAGGGAAGCCTCTGCAGCCTTGGGAGGCTGAAAACGGGCCCGTTTTTGCACTTCTGGTATTTCCAGAAGGGTCGTTTTTCGGCCTCCCGAGGCTGCAGAGGCTTCCCTTGAGCCTCCAGGAGGGGGAAAATGGCCTCAGAATCAGCTGGGAGGCACACACCTGTGCTGTGCAGGTAGGTTAGGCTGGGCTTGCCCGCCTGCACAAATGGCTATGTGTGCCACCTGTAGCACGCATGCCATAGGTTCGCCATCACGGCCTTAGAAGAACCTCAACATGCCTTCCTTGGTTTGGAGGGGGCATCCTTTAAAATCAGGGGTGTCCAACCTTGGCAACTTTAAGACTTGTGGACTTGCTTTGCTGGCTGAGGAATTCTGGGAGTTGAAGTCCACAAGTCTTAAAGTTGCCAAGGTTGGACACCCCTGCTTTAAATCTTTCTTCTGTATGTCATTCTAAGCCAAAAATAAAATAAAGGATTCCTTTTAGACAACAAGAACTGATAGGACACAGCAACAAAGATGGCAAACAGTTGAGTTTGAAAGTTTTATTACTCAGATGATGTATTTTACAGCATACAGAGATTCAGGATGTCCCATAAACAAAACAGAATTGCTATGAAAAATTGTCCTTTCTTTTTTCTTTTTCCTTAGCATTCTGTCTAACGCCAAAACGCCCAACTCTGCGCCCTCCCCTCATTATTAAACCTCTAGGTCCTCCTACGTCCATTTTCTCCCTTTTTACAATCTTTCTTTATTAAAGCGAAGTAATAATAATAATAATAATACAAAAAATACGATAAATGATTAAATTAAGGTTGATTTTTCAAACAAAATAAATACATTTTCACATTTTTCTTTAAAAAAAAAAAAGATCATCGTTCGCACAAACCTGTGCATTCTAAGGAAACTCACTTTCAAAACAGTTTTGACACAGGATTTTGACAGCTTATTTTCATTCTGAAAACTTGAGAGCAGGGGCGTCCAAGTTTGGCAACTTTTAAACACTGGTGGACTTTTGAGACTGGTTGGACTTCAACTCCCAGAATTCCGCGATTCTGACAATTGAAGTCTACCAGTCTTAAAGTTGCCAAGCTTGGACACCCTTGCTCTAAAATGTATGGAGTTTGGTGAGAGTATTGATGAATAGCCATGAATTTCCATTAAATAGTTTTGATATCAAACCCGAGAATACATCCACAGGGACCTAAATAGGAATGAAAACTGCCACCCCAAACACCTTGGGGAAGAGGACACGCCACTGTACAAACCTAGCGATGAAACCGGTAAATTGGTGCCGCTGCAATTTTGCTGGTAGTTCTGCAGTGCAGTGCAGGTGTGTCAGGACAGTTGTCAGAAGGCTGGCTAGAAATAAACCTTCGTAGCCAAGCCGTCTTGTTCGAGGTTGGGGAAAACTCTTCCATCAACCAGGCCATTTTTGAGGAGGAAAAAAAATGGATTTTTCTCCAATCGCCACGGACCATATTTTTACTGGCTTCAGTAAAAGTAAGACTTCGCTCAACATCATCAAATGTCGTAAAATTGTCCCCACTTTAAAGAAGCTTAAAAGGCTCAAGTGGAGACCTGAACCCCCGTTAGATCGGCTTCATGAACCCAAAGTGGCTAATTCACAGCCGTGCGAATCTATCCCAGACTTTTGGCAAGAATGCAAGAGATCAGCCATGCAGGTATCGCATTCACCTGCCCACGTAAACTTCTTTTGTGGAACCAAACATTTTCTGGAAGCGCACGAGAAAACACGCAAGTGCTTCTGAAGCACTGTGAAAACAGAGAACAGAGGGGACATCATTCCAGATTAACATTCAGAGGAAGAGAGCCCAACATTTAAGAAAAAGCTCTTCTCCACGACATCTAAAATATCCAAATATGTCTGCGAGGATAAAGGAGTTAAGAGATTGGATAAGCCATCTGTCTGAAATGGTATAAGGTCTCCTGCTTGAGCAGGGGGTTGGACTAGAAGACCTCCAAGGTCCCTTCCAACTCTGTTATTTTGCTATTCTCTTATTCTGCTTCCCCATATGGCCCAAAATAAACTGGGCCAAGGAGCAGATGGTCTGTAATAGCCTAGGCCACCAATTCAGGTCCTCTGAAGTACAGGTAGTCCTCCATTTACGACTGCAATTGAGCCCGCAATTTATGTTGCTAAGTGAAACATTAAGTGAGCTTTGCCCCATTTTACAACCTTTCTTACCACGGTTGTTAAGTGAATCACTGCAATTGTTAAAGTTAATAACATGGTTGTTAAGTGAATCTGGCTTCCCCCTTGACTTTGCTGGTCAGAAGGTCACAAAAGGTGATCGCTTGTCCCCGGGAACACTGCAACCGTCATAAATATGAGTCAATTGCCAAGCATCTGAGTTTTGATTATGTGATGTTGCAGCAGCCGTCAAAAACAATGATAAAGTCACTTTTTTTCAGTGCCATTGTTAACTTTGGTCACTAAACAAACTATTGTTAAGTTGGGGACTACCTGTACTTGAGATACCTTCCAGAGCTTCTCTAGATAGTCTAGGTCTATCAGAAATAGTATAGGTCTTTCTGTGAGAGCAGGGGTTGGACTAGATGACCTCCAAGGTCCCTTCCAACTCTGTTACTGTTTGATAAATAGGGCTCTAACACACTTTGCAGTGACCAAGAGAACTTCTTCATTTGGTAATGGGAAGACATCACCCAGAATATCACTTTAGTCATAATTTCATGGAATTATGGACTTATTCCCATAATTATGTCTAGGCCTTGTCTCTGTCTTTCCCAAGCCTTTAGCTTCAGTTGAGAATCAGGAAAGGCATTTCCAATGAGACAACGGCTTCTAACCCATTCCATGGGATACCTCAAAGGATCTATTCTCTCCTTTCCATAATTCTGGGGCAAAATTTAAGGTATCGGTTCCTCATAGGTGAAAAAACCTCTAATAACTCAGGAACCAATTCTACCCAGTCCGTTAAGGGAAATATTTGGCTTCTTAAAACTGTTGGAAGACTGCAAAAATTCTTGGAAGAAAACCAAGAGGTAGGGATGTGGGGCCGCCTGAAATGGGATCCTGCTGGGGGGGGGAAAAAAAAGAGAGAACTATGTTCAGCTTGCCAAATTAGAATTCACGTTGGCCCCAATTCTGAATCCAAAGTATGAAGTTGTGGGAAATGGCTTATATTCTAAGTTACATTCATTCATTTCTGGGAGAGCTTTCTTCATGATCTGATGAGAGAAATAATAACAGCCCCCCATGGAAAGGCCTTCCTAATGATCTGGGGTGATTCCTACAAACACCACCCAGGATCTCCCTCCTTGACTGATTAATTTCTGCAATTCACACCCTGCCCCCTTTTTGAAATCAAAGAGCACTCAAAATGCCAAGTACAAAAGAGGAAAAGAAACAAAAAAAATCTACCTCAGATTGAACTAGTGACTGATGTAAATGCATCTATTTAGTTTCCCTGGTAACAGAAGGGAAGCATTTTGCCATGCCCTCCTATCAGGGTATCTCCTCTACTACCATGTCATCTTCTAATTAGTAGTAACCAACTCTGCTTAGCTTTTCAATGTTGACTAAATGCTGGCCACACAAAACCGAACAGCAAAAAGCCAGGGAGATCAACCAAAATCCAAAAAACCCCCATCATTAATCAAATCAGAAAAGACTACTTAATGGGAGAATCTTGACTTCTTTGCAAAAAGGAAAGAGAGAATTGTGTTTTTATAGAAGGTATTTTTTCCCCAGGCTAAGAAAAATAGAAGGTGAAATGGAGGGTCAAAGGAGAACTTGTAAAACACAGGTAGTTCTCGAATTACCACCACAGTTGAGCCCAGAATTTTGGCTGTAGGCTATTGCAGTTGTAAGTCAAGTCACCACTTGACCAGACTCAATTTTACGATCATTTTTACAAGGGTCCTTACCTGAGTCACTATGATCGTTAAATCGTAATTCCAAATAGGAACAGCACTTAGCACTTAAGACGGATATACCGCTCCACAGTGCTTAACAGCCCTTTCTAAGCAGTTTACAGAGTCAGCCTGTTGCCCCCAACAATCTGGGTCCCCATTTTACTGACCTCAGAAGGATAGAAGGCTGAGTCAACCTTGAGCTGGTCAGGATTGAACTCCTGTCAGTTGGCAGAATTAGTCTGCAATACTGCATTCTAACCACTGCGCTACCAGGGCTCAAATCCAGCTTTATCCTATGTGCATTTTTACTAGAAAACAGTGTGTGTGTCCGTCCATTGTAACTTTGGTCATTAAGTGACCGGTTGTAAGTCAAGGCCACCCATCAGAATCACTCCAGGGTTAATTGGCAAGATCTGTCAACATCATCACGTAGACACGGACATGTCTTGTTAGTCCACCCAAAACTTGATGGGTGCATCTCAAGAAGATGAGGACTTTGCTGTATCAGCCCTATATGGTTTAACTGCAGTACAGGTAGTCCTCGACTTACGATCACAAGTGAGCCCAAAATTTCTAAGCCAGGCGGTTAAGTGAGTTCTGGCCCTTTGTACATCCTTTCTCGCCACAATTAAGTAATAGCAGGTTGTAAACCTGGCTTGCTTGTCAGAAGGTCACCAAAGGTGATCATATGATCCAGGGACCCTGCAATTGTCGTAAGTACGAACCAGTTGCCAAGCACCCATATTTTGATCAGGGGATCATTGGGACGCTGATACGGTCATAAGTGTGGGGGGAAAAGATCATGTCACTTTTTTCAGTGTGGCTGTTAACTTCCAATGGTCGTTAAATGAACAGTTGTAGGTCAAAGGCTATGTTCTGACCTAGGCTTCCCCAAAAAGCACTAAGCAGACTCTTTGTCCTGGCAAAACCCCTTTTATTAGATGAAGGTGAATTTCTTGCATTCACGTTCAGCCAAAGGCTTGGCAACCAGACTTTCAAGGGTGCAATTAGGAGCACAGACCTTATCTAGCCTGGAGAGCTGCCAAGTAAATATTCCCAAACGCAGTGCTGACACGGAAGGACTCAGCAGAGTCTCTGAGATGCACAGACAGATCTTCACACTGCTGCCACGAACAAATTGTTTCCTGCAAAAGGCCCCTCCGCTTTTGCTCCTCTTTTAATCCCTATGGGAGGGGCTATTCACCATCCACCTGTGGCCTTACTCCCACATCGACCCTTAGGTTCTTTACTTTTGGCAGCTCTGCACATGCGCAGGCTGGGAACTGGCTCCAGCTGCTCCTCCTCCTCACTGCTGTCTGAGCCCGAAGGCAGCTGATGACTACCAGCCTGCCCTAGCCCAATCTCTGCCTCTGATGCAGAGCCCTCGTCTGAGCCTTCCTCAGCCTCCAGGACTAGCCCATGTTCCTCCCCAACCTCCTCACTATCCGACTCTGCTGCCAGAATAGTAAAAGAACAAGACCAGAAGCCAAAATCATCTTTAAATGACACATATTAAATCCTGATAACATGATATTTAGTTATTCTCCTGTAACACCAAGCTCTGCAATCCAATCCAGATGATTTATCACAAATACCCTCTAGATGCCACCTTTTTTTGGAAAGCAAATACTTACCTTTTTTCTGGATCATTTGCCAAACATTGTCATGTTAGATGTATGTACAATATATCATTCTACACACCTAAAAAAAATGAGCAAATCCTGGGGCCTATTTGAGCAATCAAATGGCTGCCCACAAGCATAATCTGAATTACTTCTTGTTGTGAAATAAATATAAATTTAAGCATTGGAGCACCGGTCTTTGTGGCTATGAGACAGATCAAAAGTCAGCAGATGAGTGGGACTATCCCGCAATGAAGCCAGGGGTCAAAGGAAGAGAAAAAGAAAGATGCGTTTTCCAAATTTAGAGTTTTCTAAGCTCTAAATTAGAGTTAGGAAAGGACAGCAGATCTGGTTATCGCCAGATGAGGGGTGACTAACCTTGTCACTTTAAGACTTGTGGACTTCAACTCCCAGAATTCCCTAGCCAGCTATGGGTCAGCTTTGGGAGCCATATTGAGATCCGATGCTCCCACAATTGAGCCTGGGCAAGTGGGAGGGGGGGAAGTTCTTGGAGTATATGTAGTTAGACATAATATTCTTTTTCTAATTCAAGGTCATGTTATTTCTGCACCTGGGTGAGAGGAAGTCTCAAGTTGGGATGGATGGTGATTGGGCTATGTGATGTGATGATGGGTGCAGGGGATGGATTTGTAGTTTTTACTTATCGCAAGGAAGCCCAGAACTTTCAGATTTGGCATTCCACAAATGTGCCAGTTACTATCCAAATAAAAGGAACCTGTGAGAGATGCCTGTCTTGGAGTTATTGGTTGTAATGGAGGTTTGCTGGAATGCTGACACTATGGTGGCTGAGGAATTCTGGGAGTTGAAGTCCACAGATCTTAAAGTTGACATGGTTGAGAAGCAGTGATTTATGGGAAGTCTGTCTTATTGAACCCTTCGCCTCTTTCCCTCAATAGCATATTCTCACATTAACTTTTCACTTCATATGGAGGAAAAAACAAACATTTAACTGGTCAACTTGTTAAGCAAACTATAAACTAAAGTTCTGACATTTTTTTTTGTGGGGGGGGGGCAAGAAACACTGATACATTTCACCTTAAATTCCAAGGCTAAGACAACACAGTAAAAATTATTGGATTTTTAAAAACATCTTAAAGAGAAAAAATTTTTCCTACTCCAGAAATTCCACCAAACACATACTTACAATTCACCTTCTATTCATCGGATGACTGAAGAACTTCAAGTCTTAATTCCTCATTCCTACTCAGATCCCTGAATTAATGTTAGGCTACGACAGTGTAGCCCCTACCATAATTGTAACCACGGTTGTATTAAAACCCCTCATTCACCACCACCCCACAACTTCATTACTATCAGTTTTGCTCTACTCCTCAATCTTTACCATCAGCGGATTTGCTGCAAGTCAACTCTAGGAATAATTGGCACTCAAGTTTTTGTCTCCACCTAAGTTACAGGTGATCCTCGACTTACAACCACAAGTGGGAACAGAATTTCCATTGCTAAGCGAGGCTGTCCAGTGAGTCGTGCCCAGTTTTATGACCTTTTTTTTTTTTGGCCACGGTTCAGCGAATCACCGCAGTTGTTAAAGTGAATCATGTCGTCAGTAAGCAAGGACTATTTTTGCCACAGTTGTTAAGCGAATCTTGGCTTCCCCAAGCTTTGCTTATTGGCATCTGGTCATAAATGGCAATCACGTGATCTCGGGACAGTGCAACTGATGTAAGTACATGGCTATGGGAATATTGCAATGGTCATAAGTGTGAGGACTGGTTGTAAGTCATTTTTTAAAAAATTCCTGTTGTAACAGTCTCTAAACAAACGGTTGTAAGTCAAGGACTACCTGTATGTTAGCCTTCTCTGCACAATTCAAGCCATTCCATATATTTATAATTAATATGAGAAACATCAAGTGTGTTAAGCACAGCAGAGCCGATATATTGGTATCACAATGTTAATATTTAAACTGACATTTTAGATATTTTAGAAAACAGATGGCAGGGTAACAATATTTTCCCTTTCCACATTAAATGTTCAGTCCAGAATTTTAGTAAGTGGCCAGCTTTAAATTTAAACCCTTTAAATGCTCCTGAGGAGCTGGCATTTTTCATTTAGATCAGTGTTTCTTTCCTTTGGGGATTTTAAGATGCGGAGACTTCAGTTCCCAGAATCCCCACCCAGCCATCTGATCTAAATGAATAAATAACACTGGTGTTGTGGTGCGACTGATCCCCCATTTTACCAAAAATAAATAAATTACACTTACCTAAAATAAAAAGCGTACTTAAGGAACGTAGGATAAGTTGTGTAATGCCATCAGAGGGGACACACTGCCTTTTTTTAAAAAAACAAACGACTATATCAGGAGTGGGGAATCATGGCCCTTTTATGATTTGTGGACTTCAACTCCCAGAATTCCATGGTTCCCCACCTCTGGACTAGATGTAAGGGTAGAGAGCTGGTTCAAGATAATTCAGAAATGTGTGTGCGGGGGAATTCCCCGAGATTTATTTGACTTGGATCAGAAAACCTTGCAAAAAGCTAATACAGGTAATCCTCAACTTTACCACCACAAATTAAGGCCAGCATTTCTGTTGCTAAGCGAGACAGCTGTTAAGCCAGTTTTGCCTCATTTGACCACCTTCCTTGCCACAGTTATTCAGCGAAACACCGCAGCTGTTAAGTGAAGGAACAACAGTTGGTGAAACGAACCTGGCTTGTCAAAAGGTCGCGAAATGAGCTCCCATCACTCTGGGACCCTGCATCTGTCATAAACCCGATCCAGTTGCCTGGCGTCCAAATTTTGATCATGTAACCACGGGAATGCTGCAATGGTTGTAAGTGTGAACAATGGACGTATCTTTTTTTTCAGTGCTGTTGCAACTTTGGTCACTACACCAATGCCTGCAAAGTTGAGCACTACCTGTATAGCCCTGGGGTTTCTCATAGCAATCGGAACATGTGGAAAAGCAGGGGTCCCCAACCTTGGCAACTGTAAGCCAGGAGGAATTCAACTCCCAGAATTAATTCCCCAGCCAGCTTTGCTTCAATTCTGGGAATTTGAAGTCCTCCAGGCTTAAAGTTGCCAAGGTTGGAAACCTCTGTGGAAGAGAACTGCTCCGAAGTTTGTACAGAATCAGGTTCTTCATTGCAAACCTGTTGGTAAGACATTTTAATGGCAATAATACTTTTTGAGTGGCATTTGGCCTGGGCTCCCTTTCCTTCAAGATCCTTGTATTGTTTTCTGCCATCTCCCATCACAGCAAGCTGTTCATCTAAGGCAGTCCTTCCCAAATACTGTATATATTTTTTTTCATTCCCAAAAGCCACTTTTCAGCCCAAGGTAGGTTAAAAAAAACCAAAACCCTTTCCATCTATGTCAGCCTCCTTGACATCTCTTCTAGTATAATGGGGGGTTGGGTACTTTTTACCCAAAAAGGAAAAAAAAATCACTTTTACCCAACGGTGGATTATTTTACCCGGGAAGCACTGATATAAGAATAATGTGCATGTATATATACAGAGTTATATATATGTACATATATTTATAGAATGGAAAAAAAAACCTATCCAGGAAAATAATACTCAGTGCAAATGCAAATATCTCCCCCCCTCCATTAAAAAATGGGCAGAAAAAGAAAAAAAATATATAACTTCTCAATGTCTAATCTGGAATGAGGTTTCGGGGTAGGGAGCCACTGAGGACAACTAAGGAGACCAACCTTTGAAGACACGAGGAGAGGAATGGAGAAAGGCCATTCTTTCGGCTTGACAAAAGCCGTCAGTTACCAGCATCTGGGGTGGAACAGGTCTGTCTTTGTCCCCCCCCCCCCCCGCTTTCTCCTCTCCCCTCCCAAGACATCTGCTGTGCCCTGCCTCCCCCAACCAGTTGGCCAACTGCAAGCTGCTACAACGCTTCGGAAACCATCCGTTCTCGCCCTCCAAGTCACTATTCAGCCGGCCATGTTCCTCCTGAGCCGCCCCAACAATAGCTTGGCAGGACGTTGAGCTGATGAGAGCCACGGGTCGCATCAAAAGGGAGCTTTCCACAAAACCACAGCGGGGAGGGAGGGGCCTGGCACCTGAAGACGCGACTGAAAAAAAGAGACATGCTTCGCCCCAATGAACGTATTCTTGAAAACATGCTTGCAGGGTTGTCCTCTTTAGGAGTCGGACCGCTGGACAGTCGCGCTGTCCCTGCTTCCAGTCCCTGTAATGCGGAGCGCTCCAGCGTCCTTTGAGAGTATGCTGAATGGGTGTTTTTTTGTGTGTGTTGTTTCTTTAAAGTGCGTGTCTTGCTCCCCGGCAACTGGGCTTGTGCCCGCCTGCTGCCTTTCAAGCTGTCAGTTTCTGGATGGTCTTGTTGTAATACTGCGTGATGGTGGGGGTCAGGGGGTTCCAACTGTTGGCGTGCAGCTCGATGACCTCCAGGAGCAAGGAGCGGGTCAGCATGGACTCCGAGGGGCACAGCATCTTGTCGCGGGCGGTGGCCAGAAGTTCCGTCATCAGCTCAGGAAGCTGTTCTTCCAGCAGCCGGCCGGCACTTTGCAACTAGGGAGGAAGAAAGAAGCGAGGTCAAAAGCCGAGGACCAGCTGGATCCCTCTCCCAGCCTCGCCCGCAATGGGAAGGAGAGAGGCGGAGAAGAAGGCTCCGCTTCCTTTTGCAAATGCTTGATTTAGTGATTGCTTCGAGGCACGTGGTTCTGTTAGAAATGATTATTGTTCTATGCCAGGGGTGTCTAACTTTGGCCATTTTAAGACTTGGGGACTTCAACTCCCATGGCTGGCTGGGGGAATTCTGGGAGTTAAAGTCCACAGGTCTTAAAGTGTCCAAGGTTGGACACCCCTATTCTATGCTTCACATAAGACCCTGTAAACTGCCATTTTAAAAAGCAGAGGCAAATAACATAAAACATAACATAAAACATAGGATGCTGGAAAGGGGAAAAATTCCCTAAGAGAGGCATCGGAATGGATACCAGGGGAAGATGTGTATATAGAAATAGAGTTTTTCTGATGCTTCATGTGTCGTGGTGGCACAGTGGTCAGAGTGCAGTACTGCAGGCTACTTCTGCTGACTGCCGGCTGACTGCAATTTGGCAGTTCGAATCCCACCAGGCTCAAGGTTGACTCAGCCTTCTGTCCTTCCGAGGTGGGTCAAGTGAGGACCCAGATTGTTGAGGGCAATAGGCTGACTCTGTAAACCGCTTAGAGGGCTGTAAAGCACTGTGAAGTCTGAGTGCTATTGGGAAGGAAGGAAGGAAGGAAGGAAGGAAGGAAGGAAGGAAGGAAGGAAGGAAAAGGAAAGAAGGAGCCAGGGTGGCATAGTGGTCAGAATGCAGTACTGCAGGCTAACTCACTGCTCACTGCTAGGAGTTCGATCCTGACTGGCTCAAGGTTGACTCAGCCTTCTGTCCTTCCGAGGTGGGTCAAATGAGGACCCTTGTTGGGGGCAAGAGGCTGGCTCTATAAAACAGCTTAGAGAGGGCTGCAAAGCGGTATATAAGTCTAAGTGCTATTGCTTTATTTTAACATTTTGCCAATGGCACAGAGCTCTTAAGAAAAGAATGGAGGGGTGGGGTCTTCAAGGCCAACAAATATGAATATGCCATGAATTCTGCAGGTTGAATGCTTTCGATGGGTAGACTGAGGAAGGAGATATAACAAACTTTGCAATTGTCCCTCCTCACATTGGTCCAAGTAGACGTTGATCAACTACGGTACATGTTTATTCAAGAGTCAGATCTTGTGTTACATTTTGGATACTGAGATTTAGGGATTTAGAATAAACAACACAATGTTGAGTTTGTTTTTTGGTTTTTTGAAAACAGTATGAATTTCCTCACTGGACTTTTGAGATGTTTTTCCAAGTTCTGGCTACAATATGCCAGTTAAAAGAAAAAGAAAGGAACTGCAGCAAATATCAACTAATTCAGATATCACATGTATATGATATCAACCAATGAAACCATGGCTTGTTCAGTTAAGTTTTCTAAATACTAATAAGTCCTCAACTTACAACCATAACTGACCCACATATTTCTGTGGCTAAGCAGGACAGTTGTTAAATGAGCTTTGCTCCATTTTCCTTTCTTGCCACAGTTGTTACATGAATCACTGGAGTTGTTTAGTAACGGTGTTGTTAAGTGATTCTGGCTTCCCTGTTGACTTTGCCTGTCTGAATGTTGCAAAAGGGGATCACATGACCCCCCTCTGGACATTGCAACTGTCATAAATGTGAGTCAGTTGCCAAGTGCCCAAATTTTGATCATGTGACCATGGGGATACTGCAATAGTTGTAAGCGTGAAAAATGGTTATAAGCAGAGGTGGTATTCAACAGGTTCCGACCGGTTCTGGAGAACCGGTAGTGGAAATTTTGAGTAGTCTGGAGAACTGGCACATTCCACCTCTGACTGGCCCCGCCCCCATCTCTTCTCCGCCTCCCGAGTCCCAGCTGATCGGTTGGGTCTTCTTTGGTTGCCCTGCACAGGAGAACGGAGCTGGAAAGCAGGTTAGTGGGGTGGGGAGGGAAAGGGGATTTTCCAGTATCCTTCCCCTGCCACGGCCACCAAACCACGCCACGGCCACCAAACAAGACCACGCCCACCAAGCCACTCCCACAGAACTGGTGATAAAAAAAATTGAATCCCACCACTGGTTATAAGTCATTTTTTCTTTGCCATTGTAACTTTGAACGATCAATAAACAAACGGTTGTAAGTCAAGGACTACCTGTATTTTTAGCAACTTTAGGCATGCGGTATCATAAAAATTCAGCTAGTACCACTGAATACACTAAACCTAAAACTCAGTAAGTGTATTATGATGGTAGAATGGACATAACAGAGCAAGTTTCCCAAATCTCTTGCCATGAATCTATAGGAAACATTTATGAAAACAGTTTCTTAGGATAATAAATATAAATAAATATTGTTATGGCTTTAAAAAAGATTCTTCTAATATTAGTTTCTGATATTGTGCAGTAAAAGGGCTTGTATAAATTCTTGCTCTTATCATTTTGACATTCTCTAGGAAAAAAAACATCCCTCTTTCCTGAGTGAAGTGAGGTAGAAGAAACAGGCTACATAAACATTTCCAAATATCTACCTCCATTGAACAGCAAAGAACGGCATCTTCTTTTATATCCTGAGATTGCAACAACTGCAGAAACAGAGAAAGGGAGACATTGAAAGATATTCTTCTCCAGGGGAAAAACTCAGGTGTTCAAAGAATGAGATTTGCTTAGGTCAGAGCCAAAGCAGACTGCAAAGGCCTATTTTATTTTGCATTCATGCATGCTTTATTAATTCTCTTGATACACTGCAATAAATGGATTTGCAGGTTAGTTTGATGTTTGCCCTCTATTTGAATTCTCTCCCTTTTAGATAGTTAGTAATATCTAATTGAAATGGAATGTTCTGGCATTTCGTTAATTATATATAAAATTGCACATGGATATCTTTTTTCCTCATTCAGGCTTGACATCTGGAAGGAGTCATTTGAGATGAAAACTGATTCCAGTTCAACTGAACTTTTTATTTGCTAAAAAGAATATTCTGAAACCAAAGCAGAACTTAATAAAAGAGCACTAAATGTGATGTAGAATCGTCTTCGGTCTGATCTAAGTATGGTATATAAAATCATACATTGCAATGTCCTACCTGTCAATGAATACTTCAGCTTCAACCATAACGACACAAGAGCAAACAATAGATACAAAATCAAGGTAAACTGCACCAAACTTGATTGCAGGAAATACGACTTCAGCAACAGAGTGGTCAATGTCTGGAATACTCTACCTGACTCTGTGGTTTTTTTCCCCAAACCCCAAAAACTTTAACCTTAGACTGTCTACTATTGACCTCACCCCTTTCCTAAGAGGTCTGTAAGGGGTATGCATAAGCGCACCAACGTGCCTACCGTCCCTGTCCTATTGTTTCTTTTTATTTTCTTATATGTATCCATTTCATGTATTCATAACTATGTTTATACTTATACCTATTATCTTGTAAGTGATTGACAAATCAAAATAAATAAATAAATAAAAAATAGAATACGCACAGCAACACAGATGCCAGGAGCAAGTCATGGCACATGTGTCATTGCACAAATTATGTCTTTCACTTCTTTGGGGCAATAATGGCATGAAACCCAGGATGTTCTTGACTCTCATGCCAATGCAGAGCAGGCATTCTTAACTTGGGTCCTCCAGCTTGCTGCCCCCTGAATTTATCCATGTTGCCTGGGAACTCTAGGGCTACGTTTGGGCAACACACCTGGCTCTTAAATGCAGGTCAACCAAACACATTTCCTAAGTGCACATAACTGTTATGCCCAAACAAATAAAATCCTATGATGGGTGAATGCATTGCCCAGGTTCAAAGAATATGTTGATCAGATAACAGATAATCAGAGTCGGAAGGGACCTTATAGGTCATCTAGTCCAACCCCGCCCACCCAAGTAGGAGACCCTACACCATTTCTGACAGATGGGAGTCCAATCTCTTCTTGAAAGTCTCAAGTGATGACGCTCCCACAACTTCCGAGGGCAACTTCTGTTCCATGGGTTGATTGTTCTCCCTGTCAGAAAGTTTCTCCTTGTTTCCAGGTTAAATCTCTCTCCTTGTTCAGTTTCCATCCATTGTTCCATATCTGGCCTTTGGGTGCTTTAGAAAATAGCTTGACCCCTTCCTCCTCTTTGTGGCAGCCCCTCAGATATTGGAAGACTGCTCTCCTGTCTCCCCTGGTCCTTCTCTTCACTAGACTACCCAGGCCCAGTTTCTGTAACCGTTCTTCATATGTTTTAGTCTCCAGTCCCCTACAACTGACCCAACCAGTTTAGTGTGTTGTATAAATCTAAGGTAAGAATTGCACATCCAATACACTGGGAGGGTCCTAGTTTAAGACTCCCAGGAGGAAGGCAATGGAAAATCACTGCTTGCTAAGACAACTAAAAAGGACACGGCCATGAAAAAGCAGAAGTTGAGATGGAAGGAAGATCTCCCTTAGCTTAGGACCTACCCAAGAAAGAGGGGATAGGAGTCCAATGTCATCTTGAAAGTCTCAAGCGATGGCGCTCCCACAACTTCCGAGGGAAAGGTGTTCCATTGGTTGATTGTTCTCACTGTCTGTGCCTGAACGTGGATTCAAGTCTAGGACTTCTGGTTCAGCTCTTTCACCATTATCTACACTGAAGTATTCTGGGAATTGTAGTCTCATTACTTACTTGGCATCTTTCATTCTCAAAAGACTATGGTGTTGTGCTGTGAAAAGAGGTCATAAAACAGCCTCTAGTGTGGCTAAAAAGCCCAATTCGAGAGGGACAATCCCTTCCACACTGAGGACAGATACGGCCTGTCCCCTGTCCAGCCCCTGGATTTCGCTGGTTCTGGGACTGCCTCTTTGCCTCAGCCTGCCGAATGAGTGTCTCTTCTTCGAATTGGAGAAGGCCATGCTGCGCCTTTAGCCTCCAAGCTGAACGAGGTCAAGGTTTCCCAGCTGTTGACGTCCATTCCCAAGGCCTTTAGATCCTTCTTGCAGATATCCTTATATCGCAGCTGTGGTCTCCCTCCAAGGCGCTTTCTCCTGCACTAATTCTCCATACAGGAGATCTTTCGGAATCCTCATCATATCTGAAGTGATGGTTAGTTGGTGGCAACTTGGGTGAAAAGTAGCACCAAAGCCATTTTTCTCCAAGCAGCAGAAAAATATGACCCTGGAACCTTGTTGACTAAATCCAGTCCTAGTCGAACAGGCCTCCATCTAGAACTGTGATGGCGAACCTATGGCACAGGTGGCACACAGAGCCATTTGTGCCAGCACGCGAACTGCAGGCAAACTTACCTCACTGGGCATGCATGTGCCTCACAGCTGATTTTCGGCGGGTTTGTGGCCTTTTCGGCCTCCCAAAGGCTTGAGGAAGGCTTCTGCAGGCTTTTCAGGCTGAAAACTAGCCCCGTTTCGTCACTTCCTGTTTTCCTGAAAATACCGGAAGTGACGAAAACAGGGCTAGTTTTTGGTCTGCAAAGCCTGCAGAAGCCTTCCTCAAGCCTCTGGGAGGCCGGAAAAGGCCTCAAACTGGCCGAAAATCAGCTGTGAGGCGCAGTGCAGGTAAGGGGGCGACGGGGTGGATTGCATGCTCATGTGTAGGGGGGCTGGGAGGGCACGCATTGCCTTCTGGGTGATGGCACATGAGCACGAGCGTTCAAGCGCATGCACAATTTTTGGCACAGGAGCCCAAAAAGGTTAGCCACCACTGATCTTGAAGTTGTGTTCGATGTACATCCTCCTCCCATTGAGTTGCCAACCCAGTTGCTTTCTCAGGTCATCCCTATGACTGAACGCAAGTCCACCACTTTCCAAGGATGGAAGCCAAGATGAATGGAATTTGAAACAAAAATAAAAACCCAGTGAAACCAAATAAGGCTGAAATGACTCAGGCAAATGCTTCTTACGGCGATGTCGCTCTTAAGACTGGGGGGGTGGGGGAAGGAGAGAACGACACACACAATGATTTTCCAGAGGATGGTTTTTTTCAGCTGCTTCTTGTGAACTTTGCTGGGATGACACCGAGAGAGATTATTGGTAACAGAGATGGCTGAACAAAGGTCTTGTTGAAACAGGCTGTCTCTATGTTGGTGGAATCAGAGAGAAGGCAGTTTTAACAGAGTTGGAAAGGGACCTTAGAGGTCTTCTAGCCCAACCCCCCTACTCAAGCAAGAAACCATATACCATTTCAGACAAATGGTCGCCCAATCTCTTCTTAAAAACCTTCGGGGTTGGAGGAACCACAACTTTTGAAGGCAAGCCATTCCACTGATTGATTTTTCTCAATGTCAGGAAATTTCTCCTTAATTCTGGGTTGCTTCTCTCCTTGATTAGTTTCCACCCATTGCTTCTAGTCCTGCCTTCAGGTGCTTTGGAGAATAGCTTGACTCCCTCTTCTTTGTGGCAGCCCCCGAGATATTGGAACACTGCTATCATGTCACCCCTAGTCCTTTTTAAAAAAAATAACTTTGGGCTCTAGGAGATGAACCTTGGTTAGGTTTATCACCTAAAGCCCACAGAGGGGCTGATGGTTCTTTGGAATTTATATCTGCCTCCACCATCTGCCTCCACCAGGGTCCATCTATACCAGTGACAGTCATGCTTGAAGAGTCCTCAGATGTAGTAAGTTTCCAGCAAAAATGTTATAAATTGAGGTCACATGTCTATAAATGCTATATATGACCATAAATGGTGGCCAGATGCCCAAAATACGGTCACGTTACCATGGGATGGGATGCTGGCCACTGGAACGTTGATTCAGAGCATAAGAAGCTTTTTTTGTGGGGGGGGTCTGTTGTGTCTTAGCGGACAACCAGCTAAGTAGGAGCCAGCAGTGTGCAGCAGCAGCCAAAAAAGCCAATGCAATCCTAAGTTGCATTAACAGAGGGATACAATCGAGGTCAAGTGAGCTACTAATACCACTCTAAGGCCACACCTAGAGTACTGCATCCAGTTTTGGTCACCACACTATAAAAAAGATGTTGAGACTCTAGAAAAAGTACAGAGAAGAACAACCAGGAGGATTAGGAGACTGGAGACTAAAACATAAGAAATGATTGCCGGAACTGGGCCTGGCTAGTCTAGTGCAAGAGAAGGACCAGGGGAGACAGGAGAGCAGTCTTCCAATATTTGAAGGGCTGCCACAAAGAAGAGGGAGTCAAGCTATTCTCCAAAGCACCTGAAGGCCAGACAAGGAACAATGGATGGAAACTTGAACAAGGAGAGATTCAACCTGGAAATAAGGAGAAACTTTCTGACAGGGAGAACAATCAACCAATGGAACAGAAGTTGCCCTCGGAAGTTGTGGGAGCACCATCACTTGAGACCTTCAAAAAGAGACTGGACTATCTATCAGAAATGGTGTAGGGTCTCCCGCTTAGGGAGGGGGTTGGACTAGATGACTTACACGGTCCCTTCCAACTTTGATTATCTGTTATCTGTTATCTGAATGGTCACCAAGTGACCAGTCATAAATCAAGGACTAATGATGAAAGGTTTCCCTTAAATAAAATGCTTGGTGTTGACCAAGAAAGGAATGTTGTGTTCTAACAAATGTTCTTTTGCCACATTTATCTATATTTATTGAGTGCTATAGGAATCCTCCTCCTCTTTTCTGGCAATGGAGTCCCCAAATATTGTCTGAAGTGCCCCGCAATTTTATACATTCTCGATTGAGATCTTGTAAGAGAGGAGACCCCAAAACACAGAATTTTCCAGAGCTGACAACGGCAGGCAAATTTGCTCCCTTTTTTTGTCTTTGCCAAAAGTGCTCTGTGGACAGTGATGGATAGTAAGCAAGTGTTGTGGCCCATGGCAGACTTGAACAATGAGGAGGTTGGGGAGGAACTTGGGCGCGTGCTGAAGTCTGGGGAAGGCTCTGACGAGTGCTCTGCATCGGATACAGAGAAAGAGCCAGGGCCGTCCGACATTTCCCAGCTACCAGACAGCCAGCTGCCTTTGGAGGCTGAGATAAGTGGGGAGGAAGAACAGCTGGGGCCTGTTCCAGATGCACGTATGCACAGAGCTGTTAGGAGAGGAGAACAATGGAGGACAAGGAGTCGACTTGGGAAGCAAGGCACATGTGGACGCTGAATGGCCCCTCCCTGGCTGGGATATAAATAGAAGGAAAGGGGAGTGGTTGTTGTAGGAGACAACAGTTCGTCTTTCTAAAGATTTTGCCCATCGTATTTCGTGCCACAGAGACTGCTTGCCAGAACTTAATGTGCAGCCTTTCAGCCTTGCAATTATCGCAAAGAACTGATAAGGTCTGTTACTGCAGTTAACTCTTGGAAGGACTATTGCCTGGACTTTTCCGTGTGTGAATGCCATTAATTCACAGGAGATAAATAAAGAGGTTTTTTTTTTTTCAGGACAAGGAGTCTGTTTCTTCTCTCTGCTAAGGCTGGGTGTCATGCCCCTGTTGAAGTCTGACTCTGAGGGAGAGGAGGAACAGCTGACAGGGAGTGGAAGTGTGGCTGCGGAGGTTGTGGAGGAGGCTGGGCAGTCAGAGGAAGACCCAGGCCCATCCCCTCTCCATCCTAGGGCACGCAGGGAGGAAAGGATGAGACATGAATGGTGTGGTCTACGGGGGAGGAATGGGCCTTGATCCTCTTCATGGGCTGCAGCTGTGAGAACTGGTTAAAAGGACAGACATGCGTATGGACGAGTGCTGGAAACAAAGCGTGGAAATATCTCTAGTTTATTGTTCCTCTCTGAGTTTGGCGCCCTTCCCAGTGTGTGTTCCGATATCCGTGAACGTCTTCAAGCCCTTATCTTGCCTGGTTCCCTTAACTGCTTCAGTGTGGTTTGTGTTGTTTTTACTCTTTATAATTTACAGGCATTTTTGGTTTAAATGGCATTTCCTCCTTTTCGTAACTGCTTGTGGGGGAGTTTTTTTTTGTCTCCGATCAAGGATATTTGGAGCTTTGAAGCAAAGTGAAGGAATAAAAGGGGCTTCACCTGTTTTTGTGACTGTGTTTATTTTGTATCCCACCCTGGGTCATCAAATTGGGTCAGAACAGCAAGGAAGACAAGCCCCCCCCCCAACCCGACTCACCTCCCTGAGGCAGGTGTAAATGGGGCAGACCAGAACGCGGAAGGGCTCCCCGGTGCTACTCCGCATGGTGCCGAAGACTTCGCAGAGGAAGGTGATGAAGCCCAGCCAGCGTTCCACGTCGCTCTGCTGCAGCTCCTCTCGCCTCGTGAAATCTTTCTGCACAAAAGGAGAGAAGGCACAGGAAGGCAGAAGAAAGTCAGAGAGCAGCTGCTGGGAACAGGGAAGAGAGGACCTCCCTCCCCCACAAAAAAAGGAAGAGGAGGTCAAAAGTGGCCCTTTTCAGAATCCAAATTTTACACAAAAGTCAAGGCTTCAGCCGGTAGCATCCTACCTCACCAGGCGGAGGTGTGTGATCATTTCCAATAGCAGTGAGAGTTCATCTTTCTGAATGTTTCCTTTGGTGAAATAGTATTTTTTTTTTAAAAAAAGTCACAGTTGTAGAACCAGCAGAACAGGGAGCAGGTTGGGTTGGAACCTGTCACTCTGAGATGCCCTTGGAAGAAGCTTGGAAACGGGCAACACCTGACTCCTAGGGACAACTTCTTGCCTGTTTCTTGACAGCATGATGGGACATGGGTGGTATTGAATGCTGGGGTGACTTTAGTCTAGTCAACAGCCCTGGATTCCCAGGGGGACTCTATCCAGGCTCTGACTGGATCTACCTCTGCTTCGTTTTCAAAAATCACCCACTGGAGACCTTCAAAATATAGGGCAATAAAACAAGAGCACACAACAGATACAAACTCAGTGTAAACCGCTCCAACTTGATTGCAGGAAGTACGACTTCAGCAACAGAATGGTCAATGCCTGGAATGCACTACCTGACTCTGTTGTTACATCCTCTAACCCCCAAAACTTTAACCTCAAACTATCCACTATTGACCTCACCCCATTCCTAAGAGGTCTCTAAGGGGCGTGCATAAGTGCACCATCGTGCCTACCATCCCTGTCTTATTGTCCCCATTTATTCGTACCTATTTCCTGTATTCTTACTCACGTTTATACTTATATCTATTTGTAAGCGATTGACAAATCAAATAAAACATTATATATAAAACTCTTGACACACAACTGTTCATTTAGCAACCACTCCAAATTACAACAGCACTGAAAAAAAGTGACTTACAACTAGTCCTTGCACTTACAACCATCCCCATCCCCACAGTCACGTGGTCAACGTTTGGGGTCTTGGCAACAGGCATGAGTTTACAATTGGTTGCAGCACTTTCCCAGTCAGCTTCAGACAAAGCAAAATCAATGGGAGAACTGGATTCACTTCATGATTGCATGGTTCTCTTAACATCTGTGGTGATTCACTTAAAAACCATGGCAAAAAGGTTGTAAAATGAGGTGCAATACACTTAGCAACTACTTTGCTTAGGAATGGGAATTCTGGTCCCAAATGGTAGTCATACATTGAGGACTACCTCTGTATCTATGTGTAGGTAGGTAGGTAGGTAGGTAGATGGGTGGATGGATGCACAGACAGACAGGCAGACAGACAGATGGATAGACAGAGAATTTACATAATTTAAATAAAAACAAAAATATAAAGAAGAAAGAAGAAAAAAGAAAAGAAAAAGTGCTAGTAACAGTAAGATAAACATAGAAACAGTCAGATAAACAGTAAGATAAAGGAAGAAAAAGGAAATCAACGAAGCAGTTTCTGATCTCCTTTACAGCAGCTACAACAAACTTTTTCCATTTTTCCCACTTTACATCATCCCTTTCTTCCCATAGTCAACCGTTTTAATCAGACTTTTAATCCAGAAATCTCCAGTTCAGTTTTATCAGTGTTCAGCAAACAAACTCATGAAAGTTTTCCTATCGTTCATGAAAAAAAAAATACTCCTTGTTCTGTCTCCCACCAAACAGGTCAGTTTTGCCATTTTGGCAAACTGCCACCTTCACCGTCCACTCTTCCTTGGTGGTGGTGGTAGTGAAAAGAATACAGCCATCTCTAAAGATGTCACCCTCCCAGCTGCAACATACTTGTGGTCGCAGTTGTTTTCTGCTGCTGGGACAAACTAGCCAAAGCTTTATCCAGGAGATATTTTCTTCTCCGGTTCCCTGCCTGGGATTCAGTTTGGCTGCTGGCCTTTGAAAGAAGCGTGGCTAATTTCTACATGCCTCTGTTTCCTCCTGTATTTATTTCTGAAAATGCAAGCCTCCGAACTGAAGCTCTGCCAACCAGCAGCCGCCCTGTTCCTTTAAAAAAAAAAAACTACCCTGGCAGGTTTTTGGGGTGTCCAGCCAGCAGCAACTACCCCCAGATTTTTCCTCCCTTCCCCACCACCAAATTCTGTACCTGTGCATTTGAAGGCTTTTAATTGGAAAAAGAGACCTTTTTAATGTAAATTCTCTTTCCATTGCTGTTGGTTTTGGCCCGCTTTTTATGCTGCAGCTTTTTCATCCGCTAGGTTTAGTTCCATTTTTTTTTTTAAAAAAAATGTGACCTTAAAGAATTCTAAGCTGCCATGGGAAAACTGTCTTCTGAAAAAAAAAAAGCTTTAAAAAAAATATACTGGATATTCCTTTGAAATGCAAACTGTGGTTTGAGAGAGAAGATTTCAACTTTGGCAACAAGAGAAGGAGCTGAATTTTTCCTTTAGTGAAAAGTTATGAACTGAAATTGTTTGGTGAAAACAATCTAACCCAAGGCTCTTCAAACTTGGCAACTTTAAGACTTGTGGACTTCCAACTCCCAGAATTCCCAAGCTAACATGACTGGAGGAGGAATTCTGGGAGTTGAAGTCCACAAGTCTTAAAGTTGTCAAGTTTGAAGACCCCTGATTCTAACCTTATGGAGGAAAGTGTGCAGTGGGGTAACCCCAAGGCTCTGTCTTAGGCCCAGTGTTCTTCAACATCTTCATAAATCATTTAGATGAAGGAATAGAGGGGGAATTCATCAAATTTGCAGGCGACACCAAGCTAGGGGGAATTGCTAACACTTTGCCAGACAGACTTAAGATTCAGAAGGATCTTGACAAACTTCAGCATTGGGCCCCAGACAAAAATAATAATAATTCAATTCAGTGATGAGAAAAGCAAGGCAGGAAAAACCAAATGCACAGGTACAGAATAGGTGGCACCTTGCTCAATAATGGTAACTGTGAGAAGGATCTTGGAGTCCTAGTGGACAATCACTGAAATATGAACCAGCAGTGTGCTGCAGCTGCCCAAAAAGCCAATGCAATCCTTGGTTACATCAACCCTGGGATAGCATCAGTGGTGGGATTCAAAATTTGTTATTACCGGTTCTGTGGGCATGGTGTGACTTGGTGGGCCTGGTTTGGTGGGCATGGCAGGGGAAGGTTACTGCAAAATCCCCATTCCCTCCCCACCCCACTAACCTCTTTCCAGCTCTGTTCTCCTGTGCAAGGCAACCAAAGAAGACCCAGCCAATCAGCTGGGACTCGGGAGGCGGAGAATAGATGGGGGCGGGGCCAGTCAGAGGTGGGATTTGCTGGTTCTCCAAACTACTCAAAATTTCCGCTACCGGTTCTCCAGAACTGATCAGAACCTGCTGAATACCACCTCTGGATAGCATTAAGATTGTGAGAAGTGATAGTACTCTTTATTGAGTACTGGAATATTTACTTTTTCATTTTATTCATTTATTTATTTGATTTGTCAATCGCTTACAAGATAATAGATAGAAGTATAAACTTGAGTAAGAATACAGGAAATAGGTACGAATAAAAGGGGACAATAGGACAGGGATGGTAGGTACAATGGTGCGCTTATGTACGCCCCTTACAGGCCTCTTAGGAATGGGGTGAGGTCAATAGTGGATAGTTTGAGGTTAAAGGAGTGGGGGTTAGAGGATGTAACAACAGAGTAAGGTAGTGCATTGCAGGCATTGACCACTCTGTTGCTGAAGTCGTACTTTCTGCAATCAAGTTTGGAGCGGTTTACGTTGAGTTTGTATCTGTTGTGTGCTCTTGTATTGTTGCAGTTGAAGCTGAAGCAGTCATTGACTGGTAGGACATTGTAGCAGATAATTTTGTGTACTACTTGGAATACGCTGGCCACTACGATCCAAAAAAAAAGATACTGAGAATTGAAGTTCAAATGAGTTACTTGTTTTGTATGAATTTTTTTTTAAAAAAAGCTTGCCTAAAGATTGATCACAAAGTGGAACATGATGCGTTTTTACCAATTATCCTTTTGCAAGCTATCTAACCAATATTAATAACCCAGCGGTACAGGTTCTGAAACTTCAAAAAAACAAAACAAAAACCCTCAGTATTTGAGATTGGCTCAACTGCACAAAGGTTCCAACTATAACTGATCTGTTTGGACTTGCCAACGTGATTCACAACCAGGCTATGCTTTAAAGGCATTTTTCCCAACCTGGCCTGGGATGGGAAGCAACTCCTAACATTCCTAGCCAACCTCACTAACGTTTGGGAGAAGAACAGGTAGACTTCAACTTATGGGCTTGCAATGGAGTTTGACATTTCTGTTGCTAAACGAAATTGTTAAGTGAATTTTGCCCCGTCTTTCTTGCCCTAGTTGTTAAGTGAATCACTGGAATTGTTAATTGAGTAACACGGTTGTTAAGTGAATCTGGCTTCCTCATTGACTTTGCTTGTCACAAGGTTGCCAAATCTATCTATCTATCTATCTATCTATCTATCTATCTATCTATCTATCTATCTATCTATCATCTATCTATCTATCTATCACATGACTCCAGGGCACTGCAACCGTCATAAATATGAAACAGTTGCCAAGCGTCTGAATTTTGATCACGTGAACATGGGGATGCTCATAAGTGGTCGTAAGTGTGAAAAAACAGTTCTTAAGTCACCTTTTCAGTGCTATTGTTAAGTTCGAACAATCATTAAATGAATGATTATAAGTTGAGGACTACCTGTATGCAAAAGAAGAAATCAGAAACTCTAAGTCAGTGATGGGGAACCTTTTTGGCACCAAATGCCCAAAGCACACGCACACATACCCAAAATGCAACACGCATGCGCCTGCCACGTGTGTGCCCTGCCCCCCCATGCATGCGCAGCAGAGACCCAAAGATGAGCTGGCCTGTGGGAGGTGCGTGCACATGCGCGGCGGAGCTGAGCTGGGGCGATGATGCGCGTGCCCATAGAGAGGGCTCTCTGCATGCCACCTGTGGCATGCATGCCATAGGT